GGCCATAGCTCCAGTCTAAGTGAAGGAGCAAAAAAGTGGTAGGGAACATTGTGTGGGGCAGTCACATTGATTTCTTCTGTCCCCTGCCTTTATGGCTCCCATATTTATCTGCCCTAATTTCATTCTTCTTCCGCCAATATCACATATTTTCGACAAAGTTTAATGCAAAGTATCATATTAAGTGTGCCACTAAGTATCCCTCTATTTCTTGACAAAATCACTATTCGTTTCTATGAATCACAAAACAATTAAAACCTCGTACATTTTAAACTTCTCACGTTGGTATCGCCGTGTTTCTATAAAACAGTTGTAAATAGATTATTTCTAAACGTAATAACGGAAAATTTTAACCTATCGATGTCAAATTATTGTTTTTCCTAAACAACTTATACAAGTGCGAAAAAGAATGTGTATTTCAAATGATAATGCCAAAAATGGCGTACTAGTACGCACAAGAGTACGGTCGTTAGAGGGTTAATTTATTTTCACATCGATTTTCCACCATCTTACTCCACATTTACTAAACGAAAGTTCCTAAAGACATTTTCAATGCAAACTGTATCGCCTTATAATTTAAAAAATAGTCGATTACTCATTAGCACAGGTGATACAATAATATATTCCCCCTTATCTCGTACTCTTACGCAAGAAAGGTATTAAGATAAGGGAACATCTCATCGAGTCTCGTGCCGCCTGTAACACAGCTGAATTCCTCCAATACCCCCATTCCAGGAGTCCCTCCAGTGAATTCCCATCGCAAACGTTACCACCGAGTCCCACCAAGGCAAAAAAAAAGAGAGCTCAATATCCTCACGCACGGTAGTAACTACTAACCAGGCCCAAGAATCCGGAGCATGTCGTTCCTTTTCCCGGACGATATCGCGACTCGGCCGTGTCGTAGCGCGCGTGCACGCGAGGCGGTCGCGTGGCGTTGCATCGGGTGCATATCGTATAGGTACGTATACAGGTATGCACACGGGGGATGCGCGAAAACTGAGCCCGCGCGCGTGTCCCCTCTCCAACGGTGCGTGCACTCCGGGAGCGGGTGTATGTGCGAGCAAACCGGGCGTTACGCCTGCAGCAGAGGCCTAGAGCCGGTGCAGAGAGCGAGCAGACCGCAATCCAACCGACGTACAACATGTTTATGTATCGCAGGCAACATTAACATTGCAATTTATGCGCGCTTTAACTGCCCCGCAAGCCCTTCCAGCCCGGGCTCCTCGTTCTCGCCAACAGCCGGGCTGGCCTGCTTAACACGACCGCGAATTTACCAACGCGGTTCGACGCACAAGTTCAGTCACCGCAGGAGGGCTGATGCCTTCCCTCCTCATCGCTCTATAGGCTATCGTCGGCTCGGCAGTATTTATATTTTCGTCGAATGTTAATTATTGTTTCCGGTTTTGCCGCAGACCGCCACGATTTTACGATCTGTAAGGACTATCGAAGATTGTTTTTGTGAAACGAAAGGGGATTGTGTAGATTTTAGGTGGAGTATAGCGCTATAGGGTGCCTTTTTGCAGTGTTGGGTCCGGATACGTTGATGGGCGGATTTGGAGGGTTTGAATATGCATTTGTAGAGATGGTCGGGCTTAAGGGTGAACAGGTTGAGGGGGGGAGGGGAGGGGACATTGCAGATTTCTGGCTGCGATGGAATCTGTTGCTTGCTTTGACCCCTCTTGGGATCGGAAGTGCTTGTGTTTTCGATCTGTTTTTGATTTAGAACGTAATGTTTGTAGTAGTGGTGAGATCTTGAATATTTTTTCTTTAGATTGACTGATTTTTCGAGGAAGAATGGAGGATGTACGGTATAGAGGAATGTTGTCGAATTTGGACCATCGTCTAGGTTGGACCGCTACTGTGACTTATCATGCGTAAGCAGTTTACGTCGTATGATTGACAATATGCGTATGATAGTGTTGATTGCATTAGGGAATTTAGTATATAAACAACACATGTTGTATATCATAGACCAGTTATAGTAATAATCCAACATAGACAATGATCCAAATTCGATAACCTTCCCCTATACAGTGGGTGTAAAAAGTATTCGTACACCCTTTAAAACGGAACAAGTTTTTTAAAATTGGTCCAAATGACTCGAATTGTTTTGTGAAGTTAGAGACGTTAATTTACTAAATGATGTGAAAGAAAATTTGAAAAAGTTGCAATTGATCCGAATCGCGAAGAAAATATTAAAGGTCGTGTTTTACAACTTTTTAATCCGAGGCTATAATGAAAATTTAATAAATACATATCGAAGATTTATGTTAGTTATATAGATATAGAAAATTTCATCAAAATCGGTTAACGTTGCTACGAGATACAAACGATTAAATATGTTGAAAATCGCAGTTTTTCCCGACTTTCGATCTACAACTGTAGTAAATCTAACAATTCTCACATCTTTTGATGTCTGTCGCTCGTTTCTGTATTCACCGATTTCAATGAAAGTTTCAGTATGTACATAACTAACATAAATCTTCGATATGTATTTATTAAATTTTCATTATAGCCTCGGATTAAAAAGTTGTAAAACACGACCTTTAATATTTTCTTCGCGATTCGGACCAATTGCAACTTTCTCAAATTTTGTTTTTCACATCATTTAGTAAATTAATGTCTCTAACTTCATAAAAAAACTTAAGTCATTTGGACCAATTTTAAAAGAGTTGTTCCGTTTTAAAGGGTCTACGAATACTTTTTACACTCACTGTATGTATATGGGGCTATGAAGGTTGAAAAGATATAAAATTGAGGGTTTCATTTGGATACCAGTTCTAAACATGTAGTGACAGTGTGTTTGGTGAAACATCAAATTACGTTGTTTTAAAAGTCGAATTACTAAATAAATTCTTCTGACCACCAATTCAAGGAATGGTTTGAACATTGTAATTCATGTTGCGATTTTCGTCACCATTATTTAGTTTAATACTTCCGAATTTACTAGATTTAAAATAGAGCAATTAATTTTCATTTATAGAAGCTTAGTCAAATATATAATACTTACACATTGCATGCTGGTCACTTAGAACTATATGTTTTTTGTATATACTTTCTGAGCATCTTCATACTTTTACAAGTGTTTGTAATCTTCAATTGTGTAGCGTATCGTCTGCGGTTGAACCTTCGTATTAAAATACTAAGTACCTACATTTCCTTCCGCCAAAACAATTCTTCTAAATTGAAATTACCTCAAAGCAATTTGGTATACCACAACAAATGCAAGTTGAACTGTCTTCTTAACCTTCGTAAGGTTATCGAGTCTATTTCGTTCCAATTATTGTTTCGTTTCTTTAACGTTGTCACGACTTTACACACTGTTTCGACTTAGGCCAAGACTACAAGGAAGGGCGTTTTAAATAGAAATAGAAACCGTATGTTTTAATGCAACTGATTACACGGGTGTGTCAGAGCGTATTCCATGCTCGTGTAGTCAGTTGCATTACAACATACGGTTTCTATTTCGACGAAGAAAACGCGGCGTATAAAACGCCTGTGTAGTCCTGGCCTTAATCTTAACCCTGCTACGATCTTCGGATCTATTTTGGCCCGATCATGTTCTCGCTTCTTTAACGCTCTTAGAACGTGATACACTTTTTCCAATAAATCTTAATACTGTCTCTTCAGAAATGTTCTCAGGCTTGCAAAAAGTGCAAATAAATTGTTATTGACCTGCGTGCTTCTCCTTCGTCATTATTTCGAATGTATAGTTCGACTGAGGACCGGTAGCAGAGTTAATATAGTCTCTTCAGAAGTGTTCTTAGGTTTAGAAATTGTTACTGATCTGCCTGTGTTTCCTTTCTCGTCATTATTTCTAACATACAGCTGGACCGTAGCAGGTTTAACCACAAAATACATACAAACAATCGAAACAGCACAAATCAAAACACGATCGATTTTAGAACAGAATCGCACAATCCTCTTCCTACCCTAGTGCTCGCAGACCGATTATCGCCCAGCCTAATTATCAGTAACCCAACCAAGACAATAAATCCTGAATTCAAGCTTCGGTTTCCCGCCGCTTGCTCCATCAGCGTCCAAGCAAAAACGTTTCCAAGTCTCCTCCCCGCCGCCCCGGTCCATTAAACATTCCGCCGCGCCGTCTCGCCGGACAGATTTATTTCTTTCTAAAACTGTTATGTATAACGCTCGGCACATAGACCCCGAAACATGTAACCAGCCCGGAACAGCGCAACCCCGATCCATCTTTCCTTTTTTTTGGGAGGGAGGGTGGGGTGGTTCCGCGAGAGTTTGCATGCGTGGAGGGGGACGGGGTGCGAAATACGTTTCGCAGACGTGTCGGTTCGAGCTCGATTTCACGAACGAGTACCTGAAAGCCTTTCCGGGCCCGGGGAGAACTCTTGCCTTGGATACTTTGCAAGTTTCCCGGGGCTGTTTACCTGACACGTGGGTGACTTTCCTTGGGCTGCCTTGGGTATCCCCGAAGTCAATGGGATGGAAAGCGACCGGGGAGTAGAACCCGTGTGTAGAACGTTCCGTAGTTTAATGCGTGGGGAACGTACTACAAGAAACGCAGAGGATAACTGGGATTCCTCTCTGCCCCTCTCTGTTTTTATCGGGCAGCCCCAAACAGGGAGAGAGCCTGTTACCGCTGGCGAGAATTATGGTCTCGGTTGTAAACACGTATCCCTACCCTCTTTGCCTTGTACGTACAAACGCACGAGGTTTCGTTCTGTGGCTGAGCGTGTTCGACGAGGAAAACAGCGGAGAATCGATTATCTGTCCGGAAAGGTCGAGCACCGGAATAACAGAAGTTCGAAATCAGGGTTTTATCGCGACGCAGGGATTTACGGACCAGTTAGATTGAGATCGACAGCGTCCCGCCGATCGGTACTCGTTCATTTTTCTTGAAACACCGTCTGACGGCAAATTACGGTTAATTGAGGGTAGAATGACGTTCCCCGAGGTGAAGAACCATTTGAATATTTGAACAGGGGAACGTCGAGGGGTCGTTGAAGGGACTGGTCGAGGGTACTCACATATGTCTATAGACAGTCCTCCGTAGGAATAGAGGATCAGAAGGCAGAAGATGAGGCACGTCTGCAGGTAGTCCATGGTGTCGCGTCGATGGATGGGATGGATCCGCTAGCCAGTGGTCATCGAACGTTCATAACCGCTTCTGCAAAAATGTAACCAAACATACGACTATAAAAAACGATATATTTAAACAATGTACAAGTGATATAGTAAAGTCCTGTGAACATCAAAGTTCACTGTATAGGGGGAGGGGATAAGCAATTAAACGTAAGTTCCAGGGAAGCAATGGTTCGAGGATACGAAGAACGGGGGAACAGGGAGTGGGAGGGGGCCGACGATGAACGGTAGAAAAACGGCCGTTTCAGCCTCCCCGTGCTTTTCGCCGGGGTGAAATGGCGCGGCTCTCCTGCCGGACAGATATACGACCGGTACACCAGCCACGGACAAAGAGCTACATTCACGCCAGCAGCCATTACGCGTCATTATCGAGATTAGGATCGGGAGTTCGGTCGGTATGGCGGGAGTTAAAGAGCGAGGGAGATAAAGAACGGGGCGCAGATAGCTAGACGAAGAAGGAACGGAGAACGCCGCGGGGACTTTTAGGCTGGGTTGTGTTCTTCTCTTCGAACGAGGGGGCGAACTCTTTCCTGGTGCAGGCGGATGCTGATGTGCGCAGGATGGTAGGGTAGAGCCGCTGGTAGAGAAAGAGGACTGTACTTTATTCACGGTGGTGCCGTCCTGGCTGCCCGTACAACGGTGAAAAAAACAAGAAGGCCTGGGCGCGTTCACTGGGGGGGGGGGGGGGGATCTGACAAGTTTAGGCCCCTGCGCTTGGCTCGTTATTCAACCGGGGCCATGAAAAAAAACCTGTGGCTCGATGACGCGTTATTTCTCGTGTGTGTGTGTGTGTGTTTGTACATTATATCGAACTATCGCGAATAACTAAACCCATCGAACTGATAGGAATTCCATACCATCGCGGGGCGATTCTTTTCGGTGCCATCCCAAGATAGAAGAAAGAGGACGTAATTTAATGAAGTTGTCCAAGGATCGAGGAGAGGATCTTTAGCAAGATCGTCTGTAGGATTCCTGATCGCGCGATCGGCCAGCTACCAGGAACGGCATTCTACTTAAACAGCAAATGGGAAATTCCATCGAGATATCCGGTGTAATGAGCCTGCGCGACAGGTCCATAGAACCGCGTAATCGATTAAGTGGCTGAATCGGATTATCCGAGCTGCAATTAAGATACCATTCAGCATAAAGCGGTTACGTCGGTGCCGGGCGTCTGGCATAGCACGATCACAATACCCGTGGATCGATTAGTCGACACAGTAATTAAGGTCATAGGGTTCATCCAGGGATGGAGTTACTCGAGTCGGAGAGAGACGGGACCGTTGTCGGCTAGATCCTGGGTACAGTTGTTCATTGACCGACTAGAATTCATCGTTGACGCGCGATTAATCATTTAGTCTCGGGATCGTGTTGGATTTCCATGTAATAACAACCATGTCTGATCACCAACATTCGAGTCTAGATTTACAGTCATTAGGTCGAGACGTTCGATCGGAAAGAGTACTTTCTCTTTTCCCCGAGATATTTCTCTCGTTGCTCCTTTCGTTTCTCGTAATTTAGCGCAGAGGGGTTGGAGGGTAACACGATGGCTGGGGAATTCCTCTGGGTACCGAGAGCCGTCTCTATATAAATTTCGATCTTGGATCTATATCTAGACCGATAGAGTCTGCTCGGGGGGTGGGTGGAGTTTATAGTTGCTAGTTGAAACGGGCCACGGTTCGCGCTATTTCCAGCATTGGCGCCGAAGTAACGTCTCCTGTAAATCTCCCCCGCGATACGGCCTGGGAACGAAGAAATCACGTGGATTTAGTGGCCCGTTTGTTTCTTAGCTCTTGCACGATACGCACACCGCCATCTTTCATCCGATGAAACACACCACCGACATTTACCACGAGACCTGGGCTACATAATGTGCCGTTGTGCTGTGGCCTCTGGACGCTCGATTTCCACGGGTATTCGCTTTTTCTTTCCCTTTAAATAACTCATCCTTCGGCCGACGCTTCCCTCTGACGTCCTTCCAACCGTCTTACAGGACGTGGAAGATCGTTCGAGATAAGTAACTTGCTTGGAATAATCCCTAGTGATGGAACAGTGGCGCAGCAGCGTGCGAAAAATCCTTTCTCAGTGCATTTTCGGTCTCAGAAAATATGACATTGAACATTTCTAGAGAGTCGATTAACCACTTACATGACCAATAAAAATATTTAAAATTGACCAGAGAATGCCTACTTTTTCATACATTAGTTGGGCGGTTCGTTCTAGAGTAAAAGAAGTTATAATGAGAAGTGAACAGTAATATTTCATTGGAAAAAATCGAGAAGATGAACAGAGTTATATGCGTTATATTCGATTACAACATATCTAAACATTTAATTGTGTGTGATATATTTTTAAGCAAGCAATAAATACTTAGATAAACAAATACAAGTGTAATAAATGTTATGCTCCGTCTACCAGGTCATATGTCCCTGCGTGAACGTACTGTTGCCTACATGTGATAGTTACAGACTGCACACGTAAGGGGTTAATTTGAGTTACTTCATTAATTCGTCAAATATACAGAAAATACTAATACTTTTGAGAAGTAGATTGTGAAGTTCTTCAGTTACTGGAATATTACCTGAAAGGGTCGAACGGAGACACAACCGCCAGAAAAAATCAATGCAGACGAAGAAAGTTAACAAATTTAATCATGTTAAGATATTCAGACGCCGGTAGCCTAAGTAAGTTTTCAGGCAGCCCGGTTCAATGTATATAAGTCTAGGCTCCCCGCTAATTTAAATGCAATTAAAATTAAACAAGTTCTTCTGAGCTCGGGAACGTTCGCACGGCCGTTTTATAGAAGAGCCGCGATTTTCTTGAAAAGACACGCTCCGGTAATAGAGGCCCGTGGGGGTTGGAAAGCACAGTACTTGCGTACAGGCATATAAACGAGCGTACACCGTTCCGAGCCACCCACACCGCCGACGTTTCTGGATCGTTAACCGGGGGCTCGTCGAGAAACTCCCGAGCGCAGGCGAAAAATTTGTATCCAAACTAGTTTTCCCTCCACCCTCAAGTAGCTTCGCTCCCGTGAAAAATATAGCCCTGCTCGCCGTCGATAAATCCAGGCGCCGTCGAATCAGGGACCGCAAGTTTTTTCAATACGTAATTTCCACCGAGTACGGCAATCCGCCGTACAATGATTTTTCGTGTCGAATTCAAAAACGAGGGATGGTTTTAAACTGAAAATACTTGTTTTCATGAATCTTTATGGAAAACATTTTTTAAATATCATTATCTCAACGTGTAATCTTCTAATGAATGACACTTTTCCGAAGACAATTTGACATGAATATTACTTTTTCGAAGACAATTTGACATTAATTTCTATTTTCTTAGAAACAAGAGCTAACATCGTTTCAGTGATATTTGTCCTCAAGAGGCAGGAAAATGTTTTACATTTAAACTAAATTACTGGTTTGTTAAAAAGAAATAGTGGATTACTTATTGGTACATCTAATACATAGACTTTACCGGAACGAAACTAAGGAGAAAATATTAATAAGTGTGTAACTAATGAAATTTGGGAGAAGAAACATTTATCGAAGAAAAATTTTATTAAACATTACCATACTGGTGTATGCCTGCTTCAACGAATAAAAGTAATACAGTAAATCATCGATGAATGTTCGAAGGCTCCTCGGCACTGAACGCTAAATATTTCATAAACTAATGGCCATATGCGGTTGAAACAAATATTGATTTCAGAATTCCCAGCCCTATCACTGTGCTGAACCTCATTAAAAAGTCAGCATTACACCTGGGGACCTCTCATTGTCTGTGCCAAGGAGCCTTCGAACACTCATCGTTGATTTATTGTACACAGTATGGTCATATAAGAAGAGAGTTCACGGACAGGTTCTACTGGTCAAATGATTTTCTACCAGAGATAAAAAATAATAGTTATATTAGATATACTTTGGAAAAAAGTCATTCGGCAAAAAGTAATTTTTATTTAAATGGGAATCAAATATTAATAAATTTTTCCAAGAATGACGTGAATAAAAAATATGGATTTTCAACTATCCTGGTTACAAATAATTATTATAAATAATCAAAATATTTTTGGTTAGCAATAACAATTATCGATCACGGAAATTCGTTTTGGTTGCGAATAACCATTAACAATCACGGAAATATGTAACCATTATCGATGACGAGAATTTTATTTTTGTTACCAATAAACATAATTGATAATATTGTAAATTAAAATATAGATACGTTCATACAAATAACATTAATAAAAATTGACGATAGTCAAAAGTAACAAAAATAAAACTTTGTCATGTATATTGATTACCAAAAAAATTCCAGTCATCATTAACAAAAGAAAATGCTCGTCGTCAATAATGGTTACGTGCAACCAAAAGCAATTCCGGTCATTGATAATGGTTATTTGCAACCAAAACAAAATGTCATCGATAATTATTATTGACAACCAAACAAAATTTTAATCATTTATAATGGTTATTGGTAACCACAATGATTCATACAAAGATATTAACTCCTATACCGATACTTTTTAAATTATGAATATAACAGTTGGGGTCTCTGTTTTCTACACCCGCACTTTACGGTCCTTGACTTAATTAACCAAACCACTATTTCCCTAACAACCCAATCAACTAAATTCCACAGTTTTATCTAAAATTTTGAACTCCTCATTTTCAACACGATATAGAACTTCAAAGATTTTATTTTCTAATCATACATTAAGATAACTAAAACTACATACAGTAGACATACCTATTACACGGGGGATACGTTCCATCTTATACAAGTCGCATGAATACAGCTAATATAAGTATATGGAAACACTACATCATTTACAAAACATGTAAGGATTTACTACAAAAAATGTAACATGTTCCAGAAGGGGAGTCCACCCCCCCCCCCTCCTAGTGGTGGGAATAACGCCGTTGTTCGTATCGCATTCATCGAGAAATCACTGTACATGGAAG